ATGCCAATTAGCATGCAATGGATATTCGATAGTATATTTTGATTTATAAATTTATGTAGAGCGTACATTTAAATTGTAAGCTCAACTCTTTTATTAAACAAAACTTATAGAAATAAAGCGCAAATATATCGATAACAGAAAACAGTATGATAAGAATCAAAACACGCATTAACATTGTATACTAATTATACAGGACTCTTTAAGTCAAGTGATTTAATAACTTTTGGTACAGTGAGAAGTGTTTGATTAGATTAACAACAGATTGTGTTAGGCTAAACTGGCAGCTCTAGTTGAAACTTCACGCGCAGGCCGAACGAAACCGTTATGATGCCGAGGGGAGGAGTTCTCCAAATTTGTTAAAACCAAGCCGTTTTTCAGAAATGGTGATGCATTTACACAGAAGTGCTAAATGGACTACATTTGCTCCATATCTCAACAAACGTGTTGTGCAGGGCTCTGAACTTGGCGGTAATATGGCCATGGTCCAGTGTGAGCCAAACCTTCTGCTAGACTTAGGTAAACTCTGTACTTTCCGTTGAATATTTGGGAACCTGAAGGGATGATATATGCTTTTACCAGTTTCCATAAATACTATATCAAATCCCTCTTTCGGGTACTCCGAACACAAGTTCTTGGATGCAGTAGGGTTTGACTATATAATCATGTGAAAAATATTAGCGATCACGATATTTTGACAAGTTTTTACTATTTTTTTTTTGTTTGGTAAATGTTTATTATTTTTTTATAAAAATACAGCTCATTATCTAACAAAAACCATTTATGTAGGTCCAAATTTCAAACTTTGTAGAACAATTAAATACAACTTTGCAACAACAACAAAACAACAAACTTTTAATTAAGAATATACTGAAAAATTCTAAGTTTTATAGCCAATTAAATTCTAGCTTAACAAAGTGCAAGGTGCAAGTAGCTAAGAGTTCGTGCTGATTTTTATTAATCTTTTTGCAGTTGGTGTTATTATTACCTTCCATACAAAAAAAAATTCAGATATAGTAGCTTTGTATGGAAGGAATCCAAAAGATCCAAAGTGTTTTGTAGACACTTTAAGCTACAAAATTTTCGTTGTACAACTTTATTAAATTTTTAAAATTTTTGTACTAAGTTAGAAATTTTGATTTACATGGCTCTTGTTAGGCCGTAATATTTGACGTTGGGTGTAAAACAACTCCACATAGTATCAGAAATTCCTTTATTTTATTGAAAAACTGTTTCAAAAAATACTGTACTGTAAAAAATGCTTTTTGATTGAGATGCAGCGAAACAGAATTTTTCGCAGCATTATATAGTTTTTTTTTTGTTTTTTTGTGATACAAGCATTATGCATGCCCTTATCAGTACCTCTCCGTCGCACTTAAATATCTCATAAATTTTATGTCTTCCTAAATATGTACGTAATTCTGAAAATTTCCAAATCGGTCTCACTGATAAGGCCGAATCAATTCTATGACTATTGACTATGGACCAGTGATGGGCGTATTTGAAGATGTCTAAATATTCGAGTAAAAAGCGTATGTGTTTAAGAGATTGCTAAATATTCAACTAAAAAGAATTTGGCTATTTAGAAGATAGTAAATTCTGTATTGAAAAATACATACTTAGGTATTAAGGAGCTGCTAGACACTAAAGTACAAAAAATGAAATTATTTAGCAGGCGAAGATGCAAAATAGCTTCACTAAAGTGCTAAGGTATTTAGCATAGATGGCTAAATGCTTACAATCTAAATACATATTTTATTACTTAAAAAAAAATTAAACAATTTACACACTACCTTACACTCACCTCAACTTACTTTACCACAACCCATTTCACCTCATCTCAACTCACCTCGAATCTACTCACCACAACTAAATTCACCACACATTCTCTCCACAACTCACCTCAATTTAATTTGGACTAAATCAGGATTTTCAACACTATTTCAGAAATTTCTTCTCAAGGCAGTCTCAAAAAACTCGAAATATGTAGTCCCTAAGCCCCGAGCGTCCCGAGAATCCTGAAAATAGTTCAGTAAATCGAAAAGTAGTTTCGAAAATTCGGAAGTAGTCTCGGCAATCCCGAAAGTGCTAAAAATCCCCAAATAGCCTCGAAAATCCGGTAATAGTCCCGAGAATACCGAGAAATCTATAAATCGCAAAGTGGTCTCGAAAATCCCGATAGTCTCTAAAGTAGTATCAAAACTAGTCTTTACCCATTTATAGTGCATAGTTGAATTGTATAATTGCTCTCTTGTCTCAAACCTAAAAAGGCAATAACAACTAGGGTTATAATAGTTCTAAGCAAAACCTATACGATTTCAATATTTACTTTCCCCACATTTTGAATTTACACTTCTAATCGAAAACAAATCCACTTATACCTTATTTTCTAATTAAATTTTACTATGCCAGCTTTAATGCAAACACCTACACCTAATTGTACACAAACGAAAAAGCTACTGCAGCTTAAGCAAATAGAATTCACATTATCTATTGTGTTGCTATTAAAGTTGAACTAACAAAGCGGTATATTCACACATATCCTCTACATTGTTTCTGTGGTTTTTTCTTTCTCAATAAAGCTGCTGTGTAATTGTATGAGTACATGTTGTGTGACAACATCAAGGCGCACGCCACAAATCGGAGGAGAAGCTCGGCTAAACATTAACATATTTTGTAAGCGCCAATCTATTATTATTATCATTTGTATGAGAATGCAATTGCGCGGGCTAAGTGCACTCAAGGAAATAATAAGCTGCGGAAATGCGCCGACATTCAAGAAGGCCATTTATTTATGTACCATACAATGCTTAAATCAATTAATTAATTGTTTGCGCAAACGTATTTGTACAGACGCGCCTACGCATATATTTGTTTTTAATCAATAACGAAGGGGAGAATAAATCAACATTGAGTGCTTTGACCCAGGGAGAGTCATTGCAAATTTTATCCAAGACAAATATTTTCTTTTTTAATTAATAGCAATAATAAGAATAGTTTGGCGCTTACACATGTGTTAGTGTTTGACCGAGAAATACATTCAGAGGTTCGACATTGCCTGCCGAGCGGCGACCGTTATTAAGAAAAAAACCTTTTTTCTAGATTTTTAGATCAGGGCTTGTAGCCAGGCCCTGCGGAGTGAAAGCGCGCACTGCTGTACTAATTATTTAGTACAAAAAACCAGAGATGTTCGATTCATTATCTCTGTTTTTAGCAATCCAAGGCTAAGCAATAAGGTGTATGCGGTTTTTGGATTTCGTTGAGCGAGGTATTTAAGAAGTTTGAGAACTAAACCCTTTGCTATTGGCGACAAAAAGCTGGTACCTGGAATTTCTTTGGAAAAAAGTATGCCATCAGTTTTCTTACAAGTGAACCATTAAGATATCTAAATTTCTAGGTTGAAAACGCTGCTCTTGTCAAAGGTTCGCTAGGTGACCAAGTTATCCAGGTTATCCATTGGGATTCCTGATCTTGTCTTGTCTTGACGAATCAGACAGTTCTCGCATTGAGACGGTGCCTGTTCTGTGAGGATTCGAACTGGGCAGCCATATATGGGGTCTGAAAATGAGTGTTGCTTAGTAATCCCGTAAGAAGCTTTATCCTCGTTTTAAAGTTCCCGCGAGGTTCCAAGATTCTCCAACAGCTGTTAGAAGCCACTCTGGCCTTCTCCTCGACCAGTACGATCGGGAGCTTCAGCAGGGGGTTGTACGTTTTGACTCGAATTTCCTCAGTCGTGCAGCCTTTTCCCGCGCAACTGTCCCCTTCTTCAATTTCTGAGACATTACTATGCACCGTGACTTAGATAGACTCTATGTGATCTAAAAGAATGTAGTAGCTCTGGGCATTTCTACATGCATATCGTGCCAGGCTATCCACAACATTGGTAGGATTTGAGGGAACAAGATCTAAATCTCAGCATTAAAGCACTGCCTAAAAAATCAGTAAGCTTCCTTCAGTAAGAACCGTTGAAAGAAAACGCCAAATGGCAATTTGTGCTGTGACAATTCTGCCTGCAATATCTACAGGCGTAATGTTCAGCATGACGTTAAGCGCAAGTTTAGATGTGGTTCTTAGTGCAATCCGCTGTGCGCGCTCTCATTGCTTGGCGAGTATAGCCTCCTTTAGTGGGTTCCAGCAGACAAGTGCCCCATAAAACAAGATACGCTTAGTTATGGTTTCATAGAGCCAATTAATTACTTTGGACGGGAGACCCCATAACTTACCAATAGCCTCCCTACCCCCCCCCCCCCCCCCCCCCCGCAGTAGTAGAAGGCAGCCGATACCCTCCTGGCCTTTGCTCAATACAAGGCTCCACGATATGAAGGATCAGGCTTAAGTACTTGAGCCTGTCAGAGAGCTGCAGACGGATACCCCACATCGAGGAAAGAGCCACATCGGGGACCTCATACTTTATAATAAACCAAACCAGTTCTTTCTTGCCGTGGTTGGCCGCGTACTGGCCCTCCTAGTATTTAATAGTTATTTGGCGTGCGCATTTTGGTAATCCCTACCCCTCTAAATTCGATCCCAACCCTAAACCTCGTCTCTCCCTTCGCTTAGTAACTCTTCTATAGTGGTTGCCATAATTTGCCTGCTTTGGATTCTGTCATTGAGTACAGCAAACTGATTTCTAAGAATCTTTTAAATTATCTGGCAAAAATGTCACATTCATTAGTTTCCTTAATTAACTAGAAAATACTTTCAAATGCTCATTGCCACACTTTACATGCAATTTAGGTAATGTTAGCTGCATACATTTAAATTTTTTTTATTTGAAGACAATATGTCATTTAATTTAAAAAAGCTAATTCAGTGCTCTCTTGTTTCCCTTACAGAAATTTAACAAACAAAATCTACTACCGCATGCCGCTAAATGTGCATACATGCATACACATTTATATCCACATTTACTCAAAGAGCAAATACCACTTTCAATGAAGGAATTAAAAGCAAAATTTTAAGCGACAACAGCTTAACACACAATACTGTTGACCTCAGTCAAAATGGATGAGTTTCCAGTAGTCGAAGTGCCAACAGACAAAGTACTCGAAGAGGAGGAATTCGGTATGTTTAACTATTACAGCAACACATACATACATACATACATATTTAGTAGTTAGGTATCACAAATGCAATGCACATTTTACCGCTAACCTTTATATTTTAGAAAACACTCATTGTGCTAATTCAATTGGGAATGACAGCACACAAACAGTTATTTTGGTAGTTCTCAAATTTTATTTCGCTTTTCATTACAGAGCAGCTCTACTCGGCATCCACTGGAATCATAGCACTGCTTTCCATCTTCTATGGCACTATAAGCTTTTTGGCAGTCATCGGAAATTCACTAGTCATTTGGGTGGTGTTGACGACTCGTCACATGCACACCGTTACAAACATGTATATTGCGAATTTGGCAATTGCCGATGTGGTCATTGGATTATTTTGTATACCATTTCAGGTAAAAAATTTTCAGCTATTTTCAGCTACCTTTTGTGGAATAAAGTGGATTTTTTCTATGCTATTCTCCAGCATAAATTGTTGCCTGTGTTTTGGGCAACTGAAAAACGTATAGCTATTTGCCTTTTTCCCGTTATCCTCAAGCTAAAAATCGAAAAAGTAGTAAAAGCAAAGTTTTTTGAATAAACTTTTTTGTGTGCTTTCCTTTAGTGACAAAAAAAGTGGGTGCCTCCTTAAGTTCGTTATAAAATTAGAATGAAATACTTATTTCTATACTTTTAATTAGTTATTTTTGGGAATTGTATTGTATTGTATTCACGGTAAATACCAAAAAGTCCCGAGTAGTCACGAAAAATCTTAAAGACCTAAAAATGATAAAAAGGTTTCCGTAAAAATTGCGCAAAACGAAAAAAAAGTCGCAAAAGATTCTAAAAAAATTTGAATTAAAAAAATGTATATCGATGCCGTTCCAACTGCTACCTTCCCTATACTAGTCCCTAGGGTGGATTTATCTGAA